ATTCCTTATATTATTGAAATATATAATATAAATTTAATTATATTTTTAATAATGCCAATCTATATATAAATTAGGATTCAATAATTGACTAAATATTAGATTTAATAACTCATTTAATTGATTGGTTCTTGATATTTAGCTTACTTTAGGATGTAAATTTGATGGATAAATATTTATTTATTGGTTTATCTAAAAGTTAATTATATGGTGACCTATTAGGATAGAAAATAATATTTACATAAGAAGATATGAATTAATAGATTTAATATTTTTATTATATTTACTCTATTATTTATAAAGTTTATAATATATTAATTCTGAAATAATATTTAATTGTTAGAGGGTTGAAAGTGTATTGAATTATTTGCAGAAAAATTCCTTACTACAAAATCCTAAATTAGGATATATTATTGAATTTTATCTTAAATTTAAGGTTTTATTATATATTTTATTGAATTAAATGTTAGATTAAATATAAGTTATACAACCATTAATTAAGAATGCTAATAAGAAAAAATTTGTTTAGAATATATTGAGAACATTTTAGGCTGGATTACATAAAAGGAAACTTAAATAAAAATCTTTATTACAAGAAATTACATATTTTTCTTAAATTGGTTTCGTCTTAAGAATGTAAGAGCATAATTATAAATATAAGTGACAATGTGAAAGCTTTTAATTAAAAATAGCTAAAATTATTAAAAAATATAACACAAATTAAATAACTATAATGGGTTAGCTGTAACAAAAATTGTACAGAAATTGGTACTTGGATTGTTATTATAATACTTTATTAATATTAATCTTTTTCTGATTGAAATTATTTTATTAAATTTAGATAAAATTAACCCTAATAAAAATAATATTCGTAGGCAGTTTTAAAAATGTACCCCAATATCTATTTAAAAACAATGATATTAATTTCTACCTTATTAATACATTGTAAGGACAAGCTTTATTAGAAAAAGGTGGAAATTTTTGTAAATTTAAGATAATATTCTAGATTCTAAAAATGGAAAAAAGGATGTGGTCAGATTTAAATTAGAATTTTTAGTAGTAATAATTTTATAGTTTCTTGTAATTAGGATATCATATATTGTTATAAAAATAGGAATATATAATAACAATAAGAGAGTAGGAATTTGGAAAAATGAAAAGATTTAATGATATCGAAAAAACTTGGTGATGGTGGTACATTTGATGAGAATGGGCTCAGATAAGGGGGGAGGGAATTAAGTTAAAACTTTTGGGAGTATTAAATATGAAGTATTCCCAATTTAGTTTAAGTTAAGTCATCTATGAAGGTCATTACAAAAACAACTTAAAATCTGAGAGATGGAATATTAAATAATGAGAAAACGGAAAATATAACATATATAATAATTTTAGGGAGAATTATGATTAAAAATAAGAAATTATGTATAAAAATAAAAAAATAAATTTAGAGGAGGGGGATCTTACAATATACAAGGTGAAAAATAGGGTAGTTGGATAGAATTGAGCAATTTATTTTAAATGTATTAGAAATTGTCCATTATTCTTCTATATTATTTAGTTACAATTAACTCATTAATACTGGTGAATATAAAAATGGAATAAAATATGATTTTGGGAAATTCAACATAGAAAAGATGTTAATAAATATTTTGAGAAAATGTATTCTAATAAATAGAGGAGGCTGATTATATAACACCAAGGAAAAAAACACGATGAATGGATAGAGATAACAGGTAATTTCAATTGATATTGAATTTACTTAATAGGAATATAATTCATCATGGGAAATATTAAAATGGTTTAAAGTTTGGTAGATCGGTCATTTATTATAGAAATGGTGGCTAAGATCCTTAGAAATAATAGTAAAAATTCAATTAAATATATAAGGAAGGAAGGGTAGTATAATGAATTAGGTTTCAAAAATAAAAATTTTATTGATTTGATTGATAATTTACTTTTGTAACTTGTTATTTTATCAATTTTAAAGTGAAGTAACTTTTGAAGGTGAATATAAGAATGGAAAAAAGATTGGCATATGGAATATAAATTACACTAAACCAAAAGGATAAATGATTCAAATAATGTTAATATAAAGAATAATATATTTAGTGGAGGTGCTAATATGATAATTAAATGCTGAAAAATGGTAAATGGATAGATATAAGTAATAGTTTTTGGGAGTAATGAACTTAATAAACTTTTAGTTATTGTTGAGTTTAGTATAGGATATAAATTTAGAAAAATGAATTTCATAATTTTTATGGCATGTATTTAATAAAAATATGATAGATTAAGTGGAGGTGGAATTTATACAGAGTTTGGTTTTAAACATGGCAATTAATTGGATTGATTTTATTGATCTTTTCTAAGAGTAAAGAAAATTACATTAAACTATTATAGAGATAATTAAGTAGTGTGTAAAGGAATATAAGTGGGGATTCAAATCAGGAAGATGGAATACTGAATATAGAAAAAATTGTGAAGTAATTTTGGACAAGTGTATAAAAAATTACTTTTATTTGGAGATGGCAGATCATATGATTCACATGGTTTAAAAAGTGGTAAATGGTTAGAATTGAATGCTGATATTTAAGTGTATGCCCACTAGTAGGTTTAATTGGGTTT